AGCGAAAACTTTCCAATTTGCCACAGCTTTTGTTCCTAGACGTACATGTCACGCCCGGCTTGTTCACGCGTCACCGGGTGACACGTGACGCGATTGTGACGCGTGTCGGATGCGCGCCGATGTCGCCCTTACGTCGACTTATACGGCAACAGCGTCATGTACGCATCAACACTTTAAGGCCTGGACATGCTGTTAAAAAGAATACATGTAGCTACTGGTAGCATACTCCGAAAGCACGCTTTCCGAGTATGCTACCACAACCTACTGTACCTTACAAAAGCTTCTTTTTAGCACATCAGAAACTCGTACATATTACAGACGTTTACTCACACTCCAAGTTGATATTACTTGAGATTAGGGAGCGTACTCTTTTCGCATTAAGCGTCTTATATTTCTCTATCTCATCTCTATCGTCTCTATTATCTATACATCTTCTCTATACATCTTTATTTCTCGAAATTATATTTTTTACCGAGTGTGAACCTCCGGTTACCTTACTCATACGATGGGCGTAGTGGATAGTGACTGACCCTGGCGCGAGAGTGGGTGATGGTTCGATCACCACTACTAGACAAATGTTGTGTGAGGAACATAGCTTTTTTCTAATGTCTATGTGTTTTTGATAAGTCTATAATATTCATTGCTCAAGCTTTGCTTGGTTTGGAACCTAGTTAATGTTGTGCTAAATTATGTCCTGAAGTATGAATTTAGTTATTTATTTATTTATTTATATAGACACTTTTATTTTACGCCAGTCTTTAGTCAGACCGTTGTACTTCCTCGGTTGGCTGGTCTATTCGTGCACACGTACAGTGTTCGTATAGCTTAAGCCCAGTAAGATTATAACAAGACGTAACTATTATCTAGGCTTAAGATGTCAGTTGTTCGAATAGACTCAACCTATCGTCTGTCAATGACTCAGCTGTCGTAGAACATCGTAGAGCAATTAATAGATCGAACTTATAAAAAAAGACTCATGTCGGATGACGAAACGGTTGGTTCCAAGCAACAATGTCCGTTCAAACGACTTAGGACAAAGATTATGAAATCATTGCGACCTTGCCACATCCACCGCGTCCCCGCCGACCCGGCACGCGATCCGAGGGGAACGGCGTAATGAAATGGAAAATTTTCTGAATAATCGCTCGAATAACATGTTTAATCAGCGCAACTGCGAAGAACTGTCTGATTGATAGAGTTCCAGATCATTCGAAGAACTAGCATCTGTATTTCGTATGTTGAGAGTTTTTAAATGAAATCAAGTATTTATATTCAATGCCGTGGAAGGATTTATAGTTAAATGACTCTTCCTTTCTGTAAATCTTTTGCCTCCGATAAGTAAAAGACGAATGTGTCCGAGGTCATAAGCTTCAGCGGTGGGCACATTTCCTTTATCTAGGAGTTAAAAATAGAATAAGCATTTGAAATTTTTGGTTTCATATATCGTCACGCATTTCGGATAATACATATTTATATGCTCTTTTTAAGGAGAACTTTTCGATTTAAGAAAAAAATTACTATGCACAAACTATAATTGTTATTTACGGCACGCCCATAAAAAATGTTAATAGCAAATGCTCGTTCGACCTGTAATTGGTGCACATTTCATTCCGGCTTTACATAAATAATTATAATTTTATATAAAATCTAACCTGATTGCGAACTTACTTATTCAATATTTCTTGATTAATCAACTTTAAGATGTCCAATTTCTAAAATCATAATCTTACTATCAATACTAAAACAAAGTTACGCTTCGGTAGGCGGCGTTTAGTGTCTTGCTGTCGAGCAAGCCAATATGGCTGACATTTGAAAGTAACAGATCCGACGCGCCGAGAAAAGAGCTGTCTCCATCGACCACACCTAATGCAAAACGAATCAACGGTTCTTTGATACATCCACACCTCGGCGCGGCATCATCCCAAAATTATTTCGAAACCGCCAAACGATTATCGCTCTTATGTACTCGTATTAAACCAGTCTTCAACGGTAAAAATGAATCTTTTGTGTTATACATAGAGGAAGTTCGGGGAACTCGAAGTTTGGATGCCCATTCACGGCCTTCCCACTCGGGGTTAACGGTATTTTTTATCTGTACACTCCACACACAAGCACAGGGCGAGTGACAATTTGCATATATTATTTCGCCCAAACATATACTTGTGCGTATCGCTCGCTTATATCCATGAAACGCTTAATTGTATGCAAGCGAGCTAACGGGGGTCACTGGCATTATGAAAGGTTGCTTTCGCGATGGCGGCGGCTTAAGAACGAAAACGTTATTTATACGAAGTATTAACGTGATCACAGAAACGCTAGAAGTGGTAAAATAATTGAAATGTTGTGAAAATGCAAATATTCTTAACATACACTAATTTATGCCCGTGACATTGGTTGGATTTATTATTGAAAATGAAAATTTTAAATTTGATATGTTATTTGGAAATATTTTATCTTCTGAAACCTGGAATAATTTAAAGTTTCAAAGATTCAGAGCGTATTCGAGACATTTAGACATAACTTAGAGAAGGGAAAAAATTCTAAATCCTAAATGTAGGTTGTCAAAAGAAGTTTTGAAGTTTGTGATTGTGTTTTAAATCACAGTTATACATTTTAATCTTCAAAAATATGAATATATTTTCCACCTATATCTCGGTGGCCGTTAAATGCTCATTTGCAGTGAACGCCTACGCCATTCAGAGGCGTTCGGAAATTCAAAATCCAAACGCATTTGCAATTCAAAATGGCTGGCCAAGTGACTTAGCAAGTAAATGAGTAAACCTGGATTAATTTGTTTTTTTTTTTATCTACGTCATTCTTATTTGAATAAAAAATTTAAGCTAACGGTGGTAGGGCCACGCAGCAGCCTCGGCTGTTGCACGAATGGGCAGGCTCGTCCGGGTAAGTACCACAACCTCACAGATGACCAGCGTAAAGTGGAAGTATGACAAATACTTTCGCGTTTCGTCTGGTGAGCGAGGTAGCCGGCGCCCAATTTCCAAAAAGGTTGGCAACGCAACTGCAAACCCTCGGGTGTAGCAGTTGTCTATGGGCAGCGGTATTCACTTAACCGTCTGCTCCTTTGGCAACTTTTCACTTAAAAAAAAAGCTTTTAGATTATTATAATGTGCGAAAATTTATTTCACACGGTCGACAATGGAAACATGTATGTATATGATGAAAGACTTAGTCATTAAAGTAAACTTAAGATAATTTTTTTATGAATCGATATACAGTAAATACTTCAATCTTGCTTTAAATCGACAATAACTTACTATGTAAAAAACATCACATTGTAATATTTTATATTGTAAATTATTTAATTTACATAGGTACTGCTAAAAAAGGCCTAAAAACCCGTTCTAAAAGCCGAACATTTGAGCTATATAACGTAATAATAACTTTTTAAATTCACGAGTTTTGATTATTGAATACAATCAAAATTTATTTTAATACTAATTTTTTATTATCATTGTGGACATTTGAAATATTATTTGGTAACTTGTAATTTATTACCAGAATTGGTGCAAAATTGACTACTATTAACTAATAATTAGTTTATTTAATTCTTAAGTCTTGTCGTAACATTTCCTTTTCATTTACTTTAAATTGCGATTCGCATTTATTTTACAAGATAAATCTTATTTGCATTTCGAGTGACACTCCGCCCGTTCTGCCTCGGCATCGATAGCGAACACAATTAGTGTCTGGACAATCAGAAGCTCCGCTTTGATATCGATAAATTAACTGTCGACATGTGGAGACAAAACGCGATGGTATCACTCGTAAGGAGCACTGGCTGTGACAGGGTTGCCATTATTTAAATTTATGCCACACTGCAACATAATATTGCAGATAGACTTTATATAATTATCTAACAATTTTTATACTGTGGTGATAATTATACTAATATTATCTGTGGCCGATTAAAGGATAAAAGCATCGGTTATAAAAACATATAATGGTACGATCACATTACGATAGTAGCTAACTTGGCTTCTGCTCAAGGGGCATGCTTGACTGCGAAGGTACTAATACCTCACAGAAGACCAACCTAAGTAAGAAGTATACGGTTTTGCACTTTGGAGAAGGAAGTGAGCGTAGCCCATGGTAATAAATGCTGACATTCCTGACACAAAACTTATCAACCATCCATCGGCTGTTGTCACTAAATCTCAACTGAAAGACCTACTCGTCTGCTACCATCTCCGAATGAAAATTTGCCCAATACACAATGCATAGATATGAGTTTAGTTTACTAGGTAAACACTCAGTCAATATTTATTAGTTTTAACGCATTATAGTAGTATTCGGTGGCACAGTTAGCAACTGCCATTGGGGCAAGTGTTTGTGTGACCAACATATATTTGTTCTGGATCTGGGTATTTGCTCCCAATGAGAGTTGACGGCGTCTGCCGTATACTTTAATATTTTTTGATAAAAATTTAGCCAATACTGACAATTTATTTTTAATTTATTAGAAAAGAGCTTTATCCATGAGTATTAACAACATGATTCACGTGTTATGCCGATACCAACTAAGTGAGTTAAGGGCAGTTCTGATGTCAGAAGATCCTACTTTATTACGAGTACATATACATTTAGTTAATGGGCAGGCTGAGTTAGAAGCTACGGTCGAGTAAATTTGTCATCTTCTCGTGCTTCCTTCTCATATATATATATATCATAACGTTTAAGAGCTGCTAGAGATGATTAAAAATTATGTACTGTGAGTAAATAATTTTTAATTACTATGAGTACATCAGGGCATAGTCCACCACGTTACTCCACTGCGGATTGGCGGACTTCACATATCTTCGAAAAATATTTTTTTTGTTATTATTTCGAAAATATGCAGGTTTCACGATGTTTTCCTTCACCGCTGAGCACGTGACAATTGCACATACTACAACTTACACTCATAATTAATAGCAGTTTTAAATAACGAGATAGTTTCGATTGAACGCTATTTTCGGCGTCGCACAGCTCCAGCCCTATCGATGAGCGGTTTAAACGGTTCAATTCTCGCGCGGGCGCGGCGCGTCCATTGGTCGGCCGGCGCGACCGCCATTGGTGAACGGCAGCGCGGGAAGGAGCGGGCGGCGAGTACAAAGGGAACCGAGAGGCGGCGTCCGGTACAGCAATTGTCAGCTGTCCGAGCGTCTACTATGAATATGGATGGTGATATCGGCCCTTTTGTCCCGTAGCCCGTGTCGCCGTTTAAATAGCCGATATGTTGTATTGCTTAGTTATAATTCAGAGACCCCCGAGCCGGATTAAAGTGCCGTCAAAGTCACTCCGTTATGAATTTGCGCGTGACGTGCGGATGGGATTCCACCTGTTAAGGACAGGTTATCAACGCTTGTTACGGTTTTGGTTATAAACACATGTTAAAGACATTCCGTTTGACTTGTAAATTAATTTATTACTAGTTCAGCGTTCATTGACCTCTCTGAGTGTGGCTGTAAGTTTTGAATCAAATAGTGTTCAGCGATTACACGGTCATATATATATATATATATATATATATGTATAGTGAATTACCATCCCATTAATTGCAGTTTGGTTTAAATAACATTACAATAAAATAAGTAATTCTTAATTAATTCGAGCTATTGCCCACTGGGTGTTGCAGCATCAGATTTATCTCACACACTCGTATAGACTATAAATGTGTTAAAAAAAATATTTTTTAAACTAAATCTTCGTGGGCTGAACCAGAATCAACTGAATGGCTTAGTGCTAAGAAGATATGCATAATGTTTCATAATTTCGAACATTAAAAAATGTTAGATTTATTATGACGATATCATATTTTATGATGTCATTGTTTCTCTCTTCAGCGACTGATCAATAAAGCAATTACTCGATATACATTCTTACGAAACAACTATGAACATTTTTCATGCTTGCAACATTAATCTGGATGATAATTACAATTAGATGTTGGCAATGCAAAACATATAACGCACATGAACAGAAAAGAGGAGTAAAACCAGTTTCATATACTTACATGATTTAATTACGTTTGCGCATATAAAAACAAAGCAGAACGGGTAGGATGAAACAAGCTTGCCCATTATCATGAACATCTCGCTGTACTTTGAAAAAAAAAAACTAGAAAGACACGTTGCTTGCTGGAGCCGCTTCAGATTATTATCATGTAAAGCGAATAGGCTTCCACTGAGCTAGTGCGTTTACCACCTAAGAAATAATTAACTAACTGCTTACCATTAGATGTGGTAGACAACCATTGCTGATATTTTCCGTAAAAATGTAACAGGTATAACGCGTGTGATTTAATATTTAAAGCAATAAACACCAAACCCAAACAACAAACGGAGAGTTGCCAGAATTAAGACTAATTAAACTTTTAGGATTTAATAATAATATTACTCTTATTAGTCTTAGATCAAAATAGCATGTTTAACTAATAACAATGAATTTTAACAGATTTGGGGATAATTTTTCAAACTTGATTCAGAAATTCTTCAGATTTTATGAAATTAACTACTTTTTCTTTAATTGTCATTTCTGAAAACATTTTCGTGATCAGTTCTGTTATTTCCGAGGTTATCCATTAACGGTTTACATACCCACATAAAACAAATACATAGCACTATTTTCTAATAAAAATACTATTTTTTGCCGACAATGCAAAGCAACGAACCATAAAATCAGAAATCCAAGCTTCTGCATTTTTACAAGATTATTCGACGCACAAGAAAATAAGACCTGTGCCGAGAAGTGTTCCACAAATACGAAATTCGCGTCATAACATGCACTCAGACCAAGAACAGCTATTTGTGTATCACACAAATTTTGAATCGACCCCATGGCACGGCCCTCAATGAATTTGGTGAGGTCACCACTAAACCAATGCGCCATCTGAGCAGTCTTTTTTTTGGAATGTTTGAGACAGAAATTGGGCCATTCGAGCCGCAGACAGTAGAATCTAGTAATAAAAGTACGCTTCAATGAGGAAAATGTATAGCAGTGGATTTGTTCCTAAAGGTGGCCATATTACGTTCCGTTTGAAGAGTATTGCAGTGGTGGAGTCACACGGTAGCTTCTACTACCCCACAGGTCGACCGATACAGAAATTGGGCCATTCGAGCCGCAGACAGTAGAATCTAGTAACAAAAATACGCTTCAATGAGGAAAGTGGATAGCAGTGGATTTGTGCCTAATAGTGGCCATATTACGTTCCGTTTGAAGAGTATTGCAGTGGTTGAGTCACACGGTAGCTTCTACTACCCCACAGGTCGACCAATACGATGGAAAAATACCACGCCTCTCAGAAGACCAGCATGAAATGAAAATTTTCTACTTCATGAAATATTGTTCATTGGCCGTTACCACTTTTTGTCCATGAACTTTCAATTATTACTTAAAAATAAAATAAATAGATTTTTTAACGTGTCGAAATATAACAAAAAATAGAAATAAACTATCCATCGCTCGTCATTACAGCCTGACCAAAGAAATAATAAACCTCGCCATGTTGCGGAAAACGACTGAAAACCATTTGATCTATCAACCAACCAGTAATGTTTCTTTGATAAATAGATAAATAAATATAAAAAATTATAAACTATACAATAAAACCCTGGCGCAAGGCATCTCTTATAGCGAATATTTTCTCTTTAAGGGGCGTCCTTGAAGATCCGCCGTTAAAACTGCAATCGAATAATTAAGGTACTACCAGGAAATAAGAAGCTAGCAGGAAAATCCTAAGGGAAGGCTCACAATGAGACTCGTGAACGAGCAAGCGAAGCGGACATGAGTCAGGGCTGGAATAGGGTTACCAGGAAATTTTTCGGACCTAAACGTTCTCGTAAAGCGTAGTGTGGTCGTGACTAGTCCCAATTTGAAGAAAGTCGTGCGGTACTGGTAATTTTTATAAAACGCAACAGTTGCAATGGATATTCAAAACAAAGGACTATTCATTAACTTGAGGTGTATTTCTATTTCAGAAATCCTTTATAGAAGAAGGTTAGGGCCCCAATTGTGGCACAAAAGAGGTTCTTTCCGAAGAACTTCTCCGGACGGGGACAACAATTTTTTTTTTGTTTTTCTTTAAAAACATTGTCCTTACTTTAGAATGACATTAACTTGTGTTTTACTGACGCTTGACAAACAAATTTCACGTGACAAACACTCAGATGCGTAACAAGTATCTGTGTGTCACACAAATAGTTGTTCCGTGTGGGAATCGAACCCACGGCCCCGACGCCGAAGCCAAAACTGCTCCACGGAGTCATCGTCAATCTGTCAATACATTCGCAGACGATTTTCTGTTCTATTCTATCATTTCAAAATATTTCAATCAATCGAACGGCAGAAGTATGACAGCGTGGACCGCTTCCCGCTTTCCCCCTGTCCAAATTTTCCCCGACGCCTGGCCACCGTAGCCCACCATCACCGAGCCAGTCCGCTCACGTCACCTACGCAGGTACGACATATTGTTTCATATACGTTAAATGTAAATACGGCCCTATCTATTTAATATTTAATTGTGGGACAGCTGCAACAAAAAAGAGAACAACGAATCGTCGTTATGGAATTGATTCATGCACATATTTCCTAATGACATCCAATGACATGCCCTTATCAGAGAAGCGTTGCATTTCGTGCATATTTATACTTCGAACCATTTAATTGTAAATGTCGCAAAAGTTAAAGGATACTGCAAGACAAGTACGCAATACTATTAAACTATTGTATCAGAAACGTATTAATCCTAACCTGCATGATATATTTCCACATACCGAATAGGTTATTCCGTTGATAGGCTAGTCAAAAAGTTCAAAAGAGTTAACGCTCTTTTGAACTTTTAGACTAGCCTTGACTTGAAAACGCTCCTAAAAATATGAGGAAAAATAAAAAATAGCACATAAACAATTGCAATTGTTAATAACAAATAAGATTAGACAAAGATGACATTTCTGACATTCAAAAACTATTTAAGAAAACTACTAATTTACTTTTAATTTAATTTTTTTTAATTATTTAGGAACTAATTAAAAAAAACTATTAAAGAGGAGGAAATTCCCAATGAAAAAGTCCAAGCTCCCGGAACTCCTCCTCCGTTATTTATAATTTAAATAACTCCATTATTTACAACTTTTACAGTTTTAATTAACGTAATGCCACCTTTTTTCCTTTTAGTATGTTAATCGCCATTGCAATTTCTGCAGAACGTATTATTAGCACATAAAACATTTCAATATTGCGATATATATTTTCCTAGATGTGATTTCGAATCGAATGAGCTATCAATCATATTTTTAGGAATTTTATCAAGAATTAAAACTTTTTTGAACCTGATAACTAGCTAATAAACTTGCAGTGCTCATAACGTAATGTTTTAAATATTGACGTTGGACACTAATCATCTTTGCCTACACCGTTTAAATAAATAATTACGAATACCATAAATATTAAATTCATCCTTAGTTTTGTTTTTTTATATTTACGCACATACTGCAGATGATCTATTAAACGGGAAAACGTTACCACCGGCTTGGGTACGTATACTTATAAAATATATAAATTCAGGCTTAAGCATTCTACACTGACCTACCACTGCAAACCTTGAAGGTGAATAATAAGATGACTTTATTACTTTTAGCACGCGTTAACTTTAATACTTTTTTTTTTGTAATATTAACAATATATTAAAATCTGTTTGGGTCAAAATGACGGACGAGGACAATGAACTTTGTTTGGATGAGGACAACCTTTTAAAGTCTAGAGTGTCATCAACACTCTTCACTTCAAATGGTCCCCTGTCTGCGGTGCTGTCTTCCAATTTCCCTGTAAACAAAATCGCTGCTATCTTCCTAGAAATCAGTAACGCCATTACACACGTCAATTGTCGCCAAACCGGGCGGCCGACAGGAGCCGAACGGCCCCGAATATAGCCGAACGGCCGCAAACATGGCCGCACGCATTCCGATTGCATCTAATAACCTCAAAATCGAATGCAAAATGGCGTATTGAATAAATGACGCCGCTTCGTTTAGCATTCCGACATGCCATAACAGCGTGCGCATTTTCATTTGGGGCCATTGTCTTGGCAGATATTAGTATTGATTTCAATAAATAAATTAATCGTATGCCAGTTCGAATAGCACAGCTTTGGCACGCGTCGCAGTACAATCGATGAATCGATAAGTTGACGATTGTGCTCGTATGGGCC